CACACAAATTTTCAAGTACGTTTTCTCGTTCAATACGAGCTATCATGCTTTCAAATAAACCCCCATGCTTTTCCAAAAGCAATTTTAAATGGAAACGAAAAGTATTCACACTCAATTCAATGTTATTTTCCCTTAAAACACCCATTATTAACCCTTCCGCCATCTTGAAACAAAATGGCGGGTAATCGGAAAGCTCTCGTTGTTTTATCATCATCGCAGAATCTTCGGAAAAATACGTCATCATTATGCAAATTAATTTGCATAACTCATGAATTATTGGGTAATTTTGCTAATTATGCGCATGAAAAGGGGTCCATTAAGCCCCGCTACACACTACTAAGTATATATATATTCAACTTTCTGCAATTCTTTATTTTGTAGAAAAATGTTCAACACATCGCTTTATACAATGAAATATGTTCGACTATTAATTGAAATGAAGAATGATGATATGTTTACAATGGAATGCTGATGCTCATTAATTCATTTCATCACTATTAAACTTCATTGTGGTGTCTCCACTATTCTGATCACGGGCTGGAATGGACGCTATGAATTGTTCGTGAATTTGTACGCTATTCAATTAATATTGCTATTAAAGTGGTTTTTTGGCGATTTCACAAGTTCCTTGAAATACGGCTGTTAATTCTTCGAGGACAAGACTAACGTATATTGATTGGCCCTCATTATTGGTACCTTTACAACGAACATCGCCGTCTCTACTGGGCCGAACACTGGTAAATCAATGAAATTGAACTGTCGACGCTTCATAAAAAATAAACGTTATAAAAGCTTACAGAAATGGTTTCCATGCATTAAATAACTTGGCAAGTTTGGTTTGTTCAAATGCAAGATTTATTCCGTGATTATATAATCATAATTCATACTCAAACTGAATATTTAAACTTCAAATAGTCCTAGTGATTGTTTCAAAATTTTGTTCTTATACGATGTATACTGTAGAAAAATCTGTGATTCTTTTATTGCATAATGATACAAGAACCTTCCCGCTTCCGCAATCTGTTGTAATTTACTGTAAATTGTTCTGTTTTTATGCAGCGGTTACCAAATTATGAGCAAATATCGTGAGAAAATTTAGTTTTCATTTGTATAGCCCCAGCGAGTTTACGCTCTGTAGAGCGTCTTGTTAAACAATAAATGCACACTTGTTGTTACAAAATTTGCAATAAACGCCGCCCTCGAATAAACGCCGCACCTTGAGCGCCAAAAATTTAATAAACGCCGCGGCGTTTATTCGAATAATTACGGTATGCACAACCGCCTCTATTAAAACACACCAAAAGTGACGGGCTTTGTTTTCATTTTTTGCTCGGCAAAACACATTCAAAGGACGTCCGAAGGCCTATATTTTATTATTTTGGAGGTGTCCGAGCGCAGTTCTTTGTGAATAAGAAACAAGGGCGAGAAATGTGCAAAATTTTGCCTTATTTTGGGGCAAATATTGTGAAATATGAAGCCGTGAAATTTGAAACTACTTTTTGTATTGCGAAAGTTTGACATGAATATTATAGGCTGAAACATCGATGAGTGGCATTGAGTGCCAGAATTCAAAGCACAATATGATATCAGTGTGTTTAAATAAAAAGGTCAGAGTTTTTGAAAAATTCGTGCACAAAAAATTGCCCCCCCCCCCCTCAAATATCTAATGGTCCGTCCCTTATGGAAAATGTAATATATACAAGATGCTTTGATCCTAAATCTCAAGGTTATAGTTTCTTCAAGAAAGGAAAAGGTTTCTTGATTCTTAGTGGATTCGAGCTATACACGAAATTTCGATCTAGACAAGAAAAACGAAATCCATTACCATAGCTGGAAAGATCATCTTGAAATGAGTAAACTGCAAAGTTTGGTTGCGAATTGTATTACGCGGTGGGAAAATAAGCCCATTTTGAGCCGAAAGTGGCTATTTTTACCGCGCTGATTAAAACACAAATATATACAAAATTTGCGAACTTCATAGACACAGGGCAATATTTTCTTCATTTTACAACATTTAGAAATCAAATTATTACTCATTTTTATTTCTCGAGGTATATACAAAAGGTTAATTTAATTAAATTTGCAACGTTTCGGACATTTTAAATGTCCATCTTCAGGCGACAATTGTTGTCGCCTGAAGACGGACATTTAATTATTTAAAATGGCCGAAACGTTGCAAATTTAATTAAATTAACCTTTTGTATATATCCTTGAGAAATAAAAATGAGTAATAAGTTATGAACAACAAAGGTGAAAGTTTTAGAAGCAGGATTTGGAAATCAATATTTGCAGTTTTACCCATTCTAAGACGTTCTTTCTAGCTGTGGTGTTGGATTTCGTTCTTCTTGCCTTGATCAAAATTCAGTCGATAGCTGGAATCACTCTTGGACTTCATAGTTGCTCACGTATTGTCTTACCCAAGTGTTGTAGTCGTTTCTTTGTTTATTGTCTCTTGAAATTCTAATAAAAATTTGTAGTTTATCGCCCATATTCTAAAAGCTCACTCACACTCAATGAGTGGAGGTTCGGTCTGAGCTTCTCTTGAGTGTCAATGCTGTTTTTGAATAGCTGGAGGGTAAGAAGTCACATAGTAGTATTAATAACACTAGCCCTCCAGCTATTCAAAAACAGCAATGACACTCGAGAGAAGCTCAGATTCAACTTCCACTCATTGAGTGTGAGTACGGGCGTATATATGCAAAATGGGTACCCAACTCGATCACCCCTTAATAGTTGTTAAATGAATCTTTGTAATTATTATTTATTTGTATCTATTATTTATTATAATTACTTTGACATTGTGCTTTAAGTAATCGTGTGTCAAATTTATTGTAGCAATTACAATTATAGTATAGCAATGCAATCATAAAAATTGCATTCACACTTTAAAATTCGTCTTCCTTTGTAGGGTGACAGTTATATCAACAATGGAAAGGAAATTCTATTACTGGAAGTGCATTCTACTTCTGTTATTGTTAGTACCGTTTCTGTTTGGCATTCCAATGTTAATACACCGTGGTTTACATGGCCAGTATGGCTTCGATGTTCATGGCTTCAGTATCCTTATTATTGGTATAATTCCTTTTATTTGCGTCTTTCTGTTGAGAGGCAATCAGTTCAGACTACCTGCATCGGGTTTATGTACTCTAGCAACAGTTTTGGAAACCGGGATGGTTTTATATTATCTTTCGAGTAATGGTCTCTGGTGCGCGCAACATCCAAGCGTTACGCGCGAAATGTGCGCAAAATTGAAGCAATTTGCATTATTTGCGTCAACTTCAAATTTGCATTCCTGGTGGATGACTTTGGGTGACTTGTTGGCAATCCAACGTGGTCGCGCTATGCCGATGGTCTGGGAACACGATATTGACATCTGTATAACTCGCGAGGACATTCTCGCGTCTCGCGTGGGACATTTTGAACCGAAACCAATTCGTTACGGAAGAGGTCATTGGTATATAGCAATTGATATGGTAAAGCTTGGTCTAAGAGCTAGAGAAGCGGAAGGAGTCAACATAGACATATGGGCATGTCCAAAATCTTTCAAAGGCAATATTACTCGGGTATTATATTGTAATGGTTATGTGAATGTTCCAGGGTCAGCATTGGATCGACATATGTTGTTAACTAAAGAATATGGTGACTATTATGTGGTGACATACGATCACCATGGTAGTATGTGTAGGTTTTGGAATGGGTGAATCATGAGATCTTGCATCACTTAGCTACTGTCTGTGCCAGTGCAGGTAGTGCCAATAATAGATAGTGCCAATAATATAATCAAGTTTTCGTTGGTAGGGATGCAACTACCTGAAAATACAAGGAGAAATTCGACGTTTCGAGCGAGGGCCCTCCGTGTGGAGTTACTAGCCGGCTGGTAACAACAAACGAAGTGCTTTCGCTCGAAACGCCGAATTTCTTCCGTTACTTCCGAAATACAATTTCTGTATCTAATAGACTATCTAGCCACATAACAAGCAAATAAACAAGAAAAAAAACAAACACGGCAAAGAGAAAAATTGAAAATTATTTGCATTCATTCGGAGATTCGAATTCACAATGTTCGTCCACGTTAATTAATTGTATATATAAAGGTTATTCTTAGCTGCCGCGAATTATGATTGCATAAATACATAGCCTATTGCATTAAAAGTGTCCATAGTATCTTCAGTTACCACAATTAGGGGCCGATTACATGGGCGAGTTGTCCCGGCTAAGTGAGTTGACCCGCTTTGCCGAGTTGACCCGCTTCCTGTATGTATTGTCTGTTATATTGACATTTCGATTACATGCAAAGCGAGTTGTCCCGCCTTGCCGGGACCGCGGCTGTAGCTTGCCGAGTCAACTCGCTTAGCTGGGACAGAAATTGCCCACACATCCCATGTAATCGCTCTTTGCCGAGTTTGCTCGGCAAAGCGGGCTGAAAACCACACTTATGCATGTTTTAATTTCGATTATATGTATAAATATAAGTTAAAAAAACTTCAAATAACATCAAAATGATATTAATGAACGTTTTCAAGGTTTAGATAGGAAGCGACACAATTTTGTTAGAATACAAACAGTATAAGCCTGTTGGGATCAGCGCTAATAGTCCTCAAATACAACAAATACACCATTTTCAATCGATTTCTAACACTGAGTATTAAATTGTTAAGCATTACAAATCTTAATGAGCTACTTCAGCCCGGCTAGCCGGGTTAGCGGGGTGCATGTAATCGCAATTCAAAAGTCAACTCGCTTAGCCGGGACAACTCGGCAAAGCGGGACAGCTCGGCCCATGTAATCAGTCCCTGGGCAACACAGCTGAGGATACAATACCAGCCGAGCCGTATCCACTCTTTAATACAGTATACTTCAATGCAAGACGGCTAAAAGCCAAGTCGCAAAGTCTATCTACAGTATACTATCTATATAAACAATAATAACAATGCTTTTCGTTGAGTGATTGTGGCGCGCGACAAATGTCAGAGAAATGGGGAGGAGTTTATTTATAAATTGGCATTTGGTGCATTCTACACGCATTTTTGGGCTGCTATGGTTTTGTTCAAATGGAAAAGTTCACATGCGAAATTGTTCATTTCATATGCGAAATTCAGAATTTTCATACATTGAATTTGAGTTTCACATAATAATTCTTTCACATGTGAACGTCAAGTTTTATGTGAAAATAATTCAGTTACATTGGAACAGTTAGCAAGGGGAAAAGCATTATCCTATATACAGGATATTTGTAATCTAACTTTCCTGAGAGATTTTGTTACATGGACCATAAAGGGATCCGCCAACGCCTCAGGAACATAAGGTCTATCATCAATGTTATGACTGATCAACCATGAAATAAATTTCCGAACTTGAAGATCGCGAAGTATGGCCAAGTTAACAGGATTTCCTTTCGAAATGTTTATCATTCGTTCAAGCACAGAACCAAAAGGATGTTCACCTTTGGTTAAAATGAAGAAAGCGATCATACCTGCGACCTGAACATCTGATTTCTTTTTAAAACGTCCTAGCTCTTCTTTATCTACTACTTCAATTACTTCGGTGGGCATCCAGTCTCGGGTTCCTTTCGCATGTGTAAGAACTGTGGTTTCTTCTTCATTCAAAACACGGCTTATTCCGAAGTCTGCCAATCTCATGTGACCTTCGAGATCAACCAAGACATTTGATGGTTTGAGATCTCTGTGCAAAATATTTCGACTATGAAGAAACTCAATTCCGCTTAAGATTTCTTGAATCATTCCTGGACCATGATCTTGCAGATATTCCAATCTTTGAGTACGAACATGTTCTTTCAATGTTTCTTCGCAGAGATCTAAAACTATATACACAAAAGTGGCGTCTTCTAAACATTTTTGATAGCTTACTATAAATGGTGACTTGCTTGCATCAATTCGACTCAGAATTTCTAGCTCATTTTTAGCTGTATCTTCAAACTCGTGTTTCAAGATCCTCTTTACAGCCACTTCAGCACCATCTTCCATGATACCAGCATAAACAATACCCATTGAACCTTTCCCAAGTATCAAAGACTTCTGAGGTGAGAAATACTTCACCGGCGGTCCAACCTATGGTAGAAAAAATAATTTTTTATCACTATGACTGACAAATATAATAGTTCTATATCGAGTAGTGTTGAACTCGGAATCATCTCCGCTAAAGCATGAAAAGTTACAGAATTATTTAACTACGTGAAGAAACTTACTCAGCTGACCCTTGAAAGAAGTGATGTTCCCTAATACCTACTAGAAATACATGCATGCATCAACCATCACATTTATTTTCCTAAACAGTTTTTAACATGAAATATTCTAAATTAAAGCCACCAATGAACGCAGCCTTGCGTCATGTTAGCCATGGCGACAAACACCGTGGAAAACGTCTGCACATGCGTCATCCTTACTGAAATTTGGGTTATCATTCCATGTTTCGCGCACCAATATAGGTTAGGGGTTAGGTATTAGGGTTATGGGTTAGGGTTAAGGGTTAGGGTTAGGTTTAAGGTTGGGGTTAGGGTTAGGGTGTGTTATATGTGTATGGAGGTATCTAGTGAACTTTTCAGGACAATATAATACACATTACATAACGTTTACTATATTGGTACGCGAAACATGGAACGATTACCGAAATTTGCCTTGTCGGAAAATGCATTTGTTCTATGATTTGTTGATCACGTATTATGGGGCTCAAATCTTAAGTCTGATCGCACTATTCTTGGCCAATGAGATTGCCTCACATGCCAATGATTCTAAAATGAATATATTAAAGACGAAAGCATTTGTTTGGTGTGAATTATTAGATGCTAATAATATGATGAAGGAAGGCAAATGTGCATTGTTCTATTGGTGACACATTTTAGGTAAACAATTAATATTCAGTGAATCGGCTGGCCAAACGTTGAAGACATGCACCTGCAATATATTTCAGCGGTTTTACGAATGAAAACTTATTTATGCCCAAGCATGCTTCAACTAAAGAAATAGGATTTTCCTGCTTTTATTTAATTTTTGTGAATATATATAAATTTTTGTGAATATATATGTCGGCCTTTTAACAACATTGTTATTGAACCTCTATATTAACAGTTTAATAGATTACTAAATACTTGTCTGACTGCATGCCATATATGGTCATCGCGTGATTGGGTTTAGATTTGTTAAGGGAAGCCTCACATATCGATTTTTTCCACGAGAAACGACATATGTTCGTTTGGGGGGGGGGGGGGGCGTTGGCAGCTGTGACGCTTCTCTGTAAACATCATGGGAAAATTCGATAGTTTTTATCTTTGCAGAATACAAAAAAGAAAACAATTTATACAAACAGCAGTCTATATAGTCGTAATACCATACCTGTCCTATACGTATACATTTATATTATTACGCCTTCCTTGTATTCAAAACACTCAAATTCAAGAAAAACGCGCTAAAATTTTGATATTTCATGCAAAAAAAGTTGTTTTGAGAAACGTTGGAAATTTTGAAGTTCATATATATATTAATAAAAAAAGAGTACAGCAGAAAATGACATATTCCTCGCGTAAGCATCTCCAATAGCCGACCGAAAAAAAATAGTAAAAAATTGCCTTATGTGTACTATAGGAAACAAAATATCGATAACTATGTGTGACGTTTCTAAGGGGGGGGGGGGGGGTGGTCTCCAGAGAAACGAACATATGACGTTTCTCATGGACAAAATCGATATGTGAGGCTTCCCTAAGTCGTAAATATAAGAGTGTTGAAAATATAAGAGTTTTCATTTCGTCGAAGACATGTGATCCTGTCGTGTCGGATTTATAGACGACATTGAAGAATTGTTATAATTAATATTTTGTGTATGGCGGAGAAAAATATAGGCGAGTCTGTCGACAATACGCAGGAAAAACAAGACGTCCCGGTCGAAGAAAGCGACAAAAGAGATGAAGCTAAAGATAAAAATCAAGAGGAACTATGAGCACAGCAAGCAATGGATGTCAAACTCACAAAAATCGGAAAAAAATCGAGTAAAACACGTTTAACGAAGGCCAGGAATCGACTCGGAGAGCTGTTAAAGTCGTCGCAAAAAGGAATTTTAATTAGCAAGACCGTTATCAGACGAGCAGCGAATAAGGTGACATGGTATTCTTGAAAAAGTAACTTACGAATTAAAGGAAGTTGTTGTTTTGGGAGAAAACGAACATGAAACGGACAGTATAATTGAGAATTTGGACAAAGAATTCGACGAAATATCCGGTCAAGTTGATAGCATAACAGAAGCAGCCGATAATCATTTAAATCATAGATTATATACGCTCGGGGAAAAAGAGTCCGAAGCGCCTTCTGTGAGCCAAATGGACAAGCCTGTGCCACACCCCCAACTAAGGAAAATAGGTTACTAGGGAAACGAGAGAAATGTGAGCGAGGAAGCGAGTATTTTTACAGCGATCATTTGTGAGAAAATTTTATGTTTTATTAAACTTTTATTTTAAATTTATTTGTGGTAAGTGTGCATTAACTTCTCCAGCACACTTTGGTGCCGTGACCAGGATCTATTCGCGAGATTAAAACGTTTATATTCGAACATGAGCAGCAACAAGCAGACCGAGGAAAGTTTACAACTAGAAATCAACAAGGAAATAGAAAAACTGAAATATTACGTTGAAAATGCTGACGAGACGATCAACGAAGGAGATTTTAACGAGATCAAGATAATAAATAACCGACCAACAGCAATTTTGGATAAAGTAAACACTTTAGTCGCGAGTGTTCAAGAGTTAAAAATCGATCGCGGGGAAACGGCAAGGAATGTTCGACAATGGAAAAAGGAAAATAAGGAAATTTACAGGCCGCTAGTGGAAAAAATGGGAAAACTATCTGACGCTTATAACCAGAAACAAAGGAATGGGAGATGGGAGCTCTGACTAATAACTTACAAGCATGGTTGAAAAGAAACAAATGTGATCATGGTTTCATACCCCCAAGTGATGACCGGAAGAGAGAAATAAATTGGTACGGGGGGATGGGAGACCGAAACCAAAGTGCATACTTTGTAGCGAGGAACACTGGAGTGATGAGTGCAAAAGAGTAGTTACACGAGATCAGAGAAGGAAGTTCTTTGTCGACAAGAACTTATGCTTCAATTGTGGACGTAATGGTCATAGGGGGTCCCAGTGCCGCAGTCGAGGTTGTTTCAAGTGTGGGTCAAAGCATCATACCAGTATATGTGACAAGAACCAAAATCCCAAATTGGAGACGGGGGGTGTACTCAATGGTTACAGCAGGCCCCCTGAGAAGAATTCTTTATCAGCCATTATTCCAGTCAAGATTTGGGGGGAGGTGATGTGGTCTTATTTAGACACTGGTTCTGCTAGGAACTTTGTTTCTCGGGACGCAGCAAAAATGTTAAATTTGAAGCCAGAACGCCATGAACCGAGCGAAATTGTTACTCTGAATGGGATAACAAATCGGTCAATGCCGATTTGTGAAATAGAAATAAATGCTCTTGACGGGGGAGCAAGAGAGAAAATCGAGGTTACCGGTTCGAAACTTCCAGACTTTACGACAGTCAGAAGACCTCATATTCCCGAGCTAAAATTAAAGCATGAACACACAAAGGACAAAACATTTTACTATACTGAGAATGGGAAATGCCAGATTCATCTCATTATTGGAGACAACACGTTTAGTCGAATCCGAACTGAAACTGTGTGCAAGGGGGAGCAGGGAGACCCGATCGTTGAAGAAACCAGTTTTGGGTGGGTAATCCATGGGGCGATGACTACACCGATGATCAGTGCATGTTCACAAGAGAGACAAGTGACTGTGAGAGACTGTATAGTATGGACGTCTTGGGAGTCGAGGACAGAGGAGACACCAACACTGAAATTCTGAATAAGTTTACAGAGAACATTACGAGAAAGGAGGACGGGAGGTCAGTTTTCCATGGATTTCAGGGAAAAGACCGTCGGATACAAACGAACAGCAGAGTAGGAAACGGTTACAGAATGTCGATAGAAAATTAGATAAAACCCATGAACTAAAGCGAGTGTACAACAACATTATAAGCGAACAGTTAAGCCAAGGAGTAGTGGAAGTAGCCCCAGACACCCCCACTGGGGACCGGGTTTACTACATGCCGCACAAACCGGTTGTGCGCCAAAGTGCTACCACAACAAAAGTACGAATGGTCTTCGATGCGAGTGCAAAACCTAATGCATCGGCTGAGAGCATAAACGATTGCATGTATACTGGCCCTCCGTTGCAACCAAATCTGTGGGACATCCTAGTGCGAGCACGGTTAATGCAGAATCTTATATTAGCAGACATCCAGAAAGCTTTTCTTCAGATTGAAGCGAAGGAAGAAGATCGTGATTCCTTCAGATTCCTACACACCGTAAATGGCATGGAGAAACACCTACGATTCACACGTGTGCAGTTCGGAGCGGAGGCTAGCCCCTTTGTATTAGGTGCAACATTGCAACACCACCTCGGAAACCAACCCCTGAATATCAAGATACCGTCGACGCGTTGAAGAAAAATACCTATGTGGACAATTTAATGTACGGTGGCGAGGATCTGAGTAGCTTGGTGAAATTGAAAGACGAAAGCAGCAGGATCTTGGAAAGTGGTAAATTTCCCGTCCACAAATGGGAAAGTAATGTCGAGTCCTTAGAAAGCAATGACATGCCAAACCCTACTAAATTCTTGGGACATATGTGGGACAAACGGGAGGAAACCCTCGAGATAACAGTTCCTGATTACCCAGAAGGTGATACAGTGACCAAACGAAGCACCCCTAGTCATTTAGGAAGCATATATGATCCACTTGGGATAATATCTCCGACCCTAGCTGAGGGGAAACGAATCTATCGCAATGTGTGTGACGAGAAGAAATGTTGGAATGCGGAAGTTTCTCCTCAATCGAAATACCAATGGCTGAAGTGGACTAAGCAGTTGAGGAATGTTAAGGTGCCTCGAAGTATTAATAAGAGTATCAAGAGAATGAAAGCAGTTCACCTTCACGTCTTTGCGGATGCAAGTACCTTGGCTTGTTGTTCAGTAGCTATCGCTGTTGTGGAGAGTAATACGGACGTTGTCAAAGGCCTCCTAGCTTCGAAGTCGCGAATATCAAAACGGGACACGTCAATTCCGAGGCTCGAGCTTGTCAGCGGTCATATGGCCGCAAACATGGCAAGAAACCTGTGCAACGCTTTACGCGGATGGCCTATCAAGTCCGTGATCATATGGATGGATAGTCTTGTTGCATTATTTTGGATAAACAATCCGGGCAAAGCTTGGAAGGAGTTCGTAGCCAACAGAGTCAAGCAAATGGCGGAGATAACCGACGAAGTGAACATTGTGTGGAAATACTGCCCGACAAAGATGAACCTTGCAGATTTAGGAAGCAGGGGTGCAAGCATTGATAAGCTCGATAGCCAAGAGTGGTTTGCAGGAACAAACTGGCTCCTTAGTGAGGACCTGAACAAGAAGTGGCCTGAACAACCCGAACTAAAGAAGAACAGAGAAACACATGGTGAGTACAAAACCACTGAACCAATCTTCTACTGTAATGAGCAAGAAACCGATGAATGGGATGATCTACTCGATCGAAGTTCATATTGGCGAACTTAAGTTCATATTGGCGAACTAAAGCAGGAAATCGTGAACAGTTTTCAAATTACAGGCCTATTTCTCTGTTGACCAACTTCTCCAAAATTTTTGAAAGAGTTATGTATAAACGCCTAATTACTTTTGTTGAACAACACGAAATTCTGTATTGTTACCAGTTCGGATTTCGAAAAAACCATTCGACTTCAATGGCTTTAATCCATTTAGTCAACAAAATAACCTCGGCCATTGATCGTAAGGAAACAACTGCAGGGTTTTTTTTGGACCTATCCAAAGCGTTTGACACCATTGACCATGATATCCTGTTTGACAAGTTGGAACACTACGGCATTAGTGGCATAGCCCTGACGTGGATTAAAAGCTATTTTTTAGAACGCAAGCAATTTGTTGAATTCAATCAAACTTGCTCCTCTGAGCAAACAATTAAATGCGGTGTCCCGCAAGGGTCTATTCTAGGTCCGTTGTTTTTTATTCTTTATATAAATGATCTTCCAAATGCCTCTAAGGTGACGGAAACTTTGATTTTTGCAGATGACACTAGCATTTTCTATTCGCACTCAGACCCAAAACATTTAGAGTCTGTAATGAATGAAGAATTAACAAAGGTTGATGTCTGGATGAAAAGTAACAAACTTTCTGTTAATATCGAGAAAACAAATTATATTATTTTTAAATCAAATAAGAAGAAAGTTGCTTCTAACTTTTCTCTCTGTTTTGGTAATAAACTACTTGAGCAGAAAAAAACAATCACATTTTTAGGAGTATATATAGATGCACATCTAACGTGGAAAGACCACATAAGCTATATTAGTAAAAAGATTTCAAAGTCGGTTGGTATATTGTACAGGTCGCGTTTCAATTTATCATTTAAAACAAAATTATCTCTATATTACACTCTGATATATCCATACATTACTTATTGTAACCTAGCCTGGTCATCAACATATGTAACAAACCTAAATAGAATATTTTACTTACAGAAGCGTGCTGTGCGTATTATTACTAATGCAGAATTCCGTGCTCATTCTGATCCTCTATTTACTCAATATAGGTATAATAGATATTTTTAAAGTTAATTCACTTTATGTTGCTAGGTTTATGTTCTGTTATAAAAATTTAATGTTGCCGCCAATTCTTCTGAACTTATTTATCACTAACAACCAGGTCCACAATTACAATACAAGAATTGCTGAGAATTATCGTCCTCAAGCTTGTCGAACTAATTTAAAACAATTTACTATACTCTTTCAAGGTCCTAAAATTTGGAATGCTTTACCATCACATATCAAAGATTTGTCTAGTCTTTCCACCTTTAAAAAACATATGATAGAATTTCTGCTAAGATAATTTTTATACGTCGTGCACATACGCTAGCTCTTTGAGTGAAATATTGTATTTAACCTAATTAATTAATATATATATATATATATATATATATATATACTATTTGTTGTCCGAGGTGACCTCACTAGATAAGCCCAGTGGTTTCATGAGGTCTCCTCGCCATCTATTATTTTGTTTGTATTTTATTGTAATTGTATTTTGTATGGCGAATTAATAAAGTTTCAAGTTTCAAGTTTCAACTTTACGAGTCACGGCCTGGATTTTACGCTTTGTAAATAACTGTCGTTCTAAAGCAAGGAGAGACAAACGAAGAAATGGTCCACTAAATACGAACGAAATATCGAGTGCCAGAAATAAATGGGTGAGGAGAGTGCAGCAGAAAGATCGGCGAGATATCCAGTCGCCGGCATGGCGGTTGGTAGAAGAGCGGGACACCGGGATACTCAAATGCGAAGGACGAGTAACGAATTATCAGCCAATATATCTTGGCCGAGGAGCGTTTGAGGACAAGCTTATTTCTCATGTCCACAATCAGATCATGCATCTTGGTATTTCAAATACAATGGCGACTCTTGGAGAAACATGGTGGATCCCAAAGTTACGCGAGAAAGTGAAGAAAGTCATCAACAAGTGTAACGTTTGCAAATTATATTCGGCAAAACCGTTTCAAGCCCCAATCACAGCGAAAATGCCAAGTTTTAGAACGGAAGGTGGCCGACCATTTGAAGTGACCGGCGTGGACTTCGCAGGACCGCTGCACTATAAAATTACTAAGAAAGATGACGGAAAATGCTATGTCTTAATATTTACGTGCGCAGCCTCAAGAGCGGTTCATCTGGAAGTAACGAAAGATCAAACGGCTGCAGAATTTAAGAGGAAACTCAATGCTTTCATTACCCGTAGAACGAGACCGCGTATGATAATATCGGACAACGCGCAAACTTTCAAAGTTACAGCTGAATGGGTGAAGATTATAAGGAAGAGCGAGAAAATGCAGAACTTTCTTGCAAACGAAAATATCAGGTGGCAATTCAATCTTGCGAAATCCCCATGGTGGGGAGGTTTCTACGAAAGGCTTATTAAGGAAGTCAAGAAAACTTTATATAAAACACTGGGGAAATCTCACTTGTCATTCGAGGGGATGGAGCAAGTGGTAATGGATATTGAGAAGAATTTGAATAATCGTCCGTTGACGTACGTGAGGACAGAGTCGAAGGTGCTAACGCCAAATGTTATTATGTGGGGAGGAAATGCATATCCACTCGAGGAACTGGAAACAGACACGGACGAGTTGACATCGATGAATAGGCGGCTGATTAACGCAAGACAACACGCATGGCAACGCTGGAAAAGGGAGTATATTCACGCTTTAAATTAATGGAACCGCATCGTACAAAAACGAAGGGCGGGAGTGTACCAGACGTCGGCGACATACTCTTGATCGTAGGTGATGAAAAGAATCGGGGTGAATGGAAGAAAGGTCGTGTATTACGCTTAGTAAAGGGCAAGGATGGTGTTGTACGGGGCGTCGTTTTGTGTCACAACGGTCGAAGAATCGAGCGGCCTTTACAATTAGTACAAGTCTGTCCATTGGAACTTAAAGTCGCAGAAAGTGTCGTGGAGCAAAAGCAGAACGAAACGGTCTCTAAGAATCAACGAGTTCAAAGAAACGCGGCGAAGGAAGCGGAGCAGAGAATACGGTCGCAGTTAGAGGAAGAAGAGGACAATTGAACTATAGAAACATGTATAGTTGCGTTCATATTGTTATTGTTACAGTGGAGTGTGAGCCAAATGGACAAACCTGTGCCACACCCCCAACTAAGGAAATTAGGTTGCTAGGGAAACGAGAGAAATGTGAGCGAGGAAGCGAGTATTTTTACAGCGATCATTTGTGAGAAAATTTTATGTTTTATTAAACTTTTATTTTAAATTTATTTGTGGTAAGTGTGCATTAACTTTTCCAGCACATCTGTGTGTTCCATCAAATCGAGCTGGTAGTATACAAAGTGGGGGTTCTGGTCTTCTGAACCGGGTGGAGCAATACATATGAGTCGCGTTTTAGGGGTGGCTTCAGTGTTTCCACTTCCAAAAAACTAATTTCCTTCTCCATAACCCGAAATTTCCTTTTTTTCTGAATTTTTCCGCAAAATTTCCTTCCAGAAATTTCGTTCCAAAATTTTTATCAAAATTGACAGATTTACCTGGTAATTGACATCAACACTCGTGTTGTAACACATTATATTAATTTCTAGCAGATAACTCTTTACTTTGCAGGTTAATATTAGCTCATCTTCGTCCCGGGCAGACAAAAAGCATAATAATTGGGGCGCTACCTTGCCATGGGAGCGAAAAGAGATTCCATAACTGTTTCTTGCATCTTTCTCCTGGACACACACACAAGAAAGCCCACGCTAAGCAGAGTCTGAGAAATAATACCCTGGGTACGAGGTTGGGTTGATATTTCAATATAGGCATTCTGGGGTCTTGTCCTAGATGCTCCAGGACTGCATTTACAGCATCTTTTGCACAAAATTGTGTGATAATTGCCTTATTCTTAGAAATTATGAGATAAAATAGAATTTCCTTCTCATTTCCCTCCTTATAACAATATTTCCTCCCAATTTCCTTCCAAATTTCCTTCCAAAGGCACAAATTTCCTTCTGGAAGGAAATTTCCTTCCAAGTGGAAACGCTGGGTGGCTTATTCTTGTTGGGAGTTTTGGCAAACAAGCCCAACGGAAGTCGCAGAACGGAAGTTGACAGAAACTCAATAGACAAATTCACAAAGCATTTTGCATGTGAGAAATATTGCTTCTTTTCAACACTTTTTTTGTAGTTGATATAAATTTTAAAACAAGAAACGTCTTTGTGATGCTGATTTGGATGAAGTACAGGGAAATCGCAGCGAAAGTGAACGACAAAATTCAAAATGCGTATAGAACATTGTTACCAAGGGAACGAACAATCTGCTAGTATAAATATTAAATACAAATACGCGTTCTCAGATGAAGGTTCTTTTCAACATTTCAATGTGAGTACGCTTAGTAAACATGCATTCGACTGATCACCATTTTGACCTACAAATATGTGCGTGTTGTTGCTCGATATATATCTGGTATTTTCACAACGATCGAGAGTTTTGTGTGTATTTTTTCGCTTGTTGAAATCGACAAATTCGAGTGGCATTCCACTCCAAAAATCCCGTACACTTCTTCAAAATAAGGTTTCCGTTTTTATATTAATTTTAAAATAGGTCAGGGTTAGGTTAGGGTTGGGGTTGGGTTATGGTTAGTATTAGGGTTAGGGTTTAGTTGTGCGTTAGAATGGTTTTTTCTACGTTATAAAAACGGAAACCTTATTTTGAAGTATACTTTCTAGCAATCACCGTAAAGTAAAGAACCTCAAGAAGTTTTGTGCAAGGCTGATATTCTATCATTCGGAAGGAAACACAGTGGGTTAGTTTTTATAGCGAATACTATTATCAATAATACTGTTGAATTGAAGCTCGATTTTTGATATACGTCTGCCAATACGTACACATCATTTTCAAAATACTAGGCCGTTTCAATTTTAATAAGCTTTCCACCGGTGTCTGTTACTATAAAATGTTTTTAACTACATATTACGAAAGCTTCAAATGCGTGTCCTTACATGCGCAGCAAGGCGAGACTTTTGAACTTTTGAAAATAGTTTTTGAATTTCCGTGGTATGACAAAAGTTTGTTGCGAACGTTTTCTCAGCGAATTTTCTACACAGCCAGAAACGCGCAAGTCGGAACAGATCTGCAACAGATCTGTTAAATCCTGTTGTCAACAAGCCGATATCTGGATGCGTTCGCTCGCCTTGTACCTGTCTGTTCTGACAGGTCCGCAACGGCCTGTCAACAGGTCTGTTAGAAGCTGTTGTGACAGAGCTGCAGCAATGCTGTTTTCAACAGGTCTGTTAGAAGCTGTTGTGACAGAGCTGCAGCAATGCTGTTTTCAACAGGCCTGTCGCAAGTTGTTGACACAGAGCTGCAGCAATGCTGTTTTCAACAACTTGCGACAGACCTGTTGCAAACCGAGGAAAGCACCTTATCAAGCTTGTGTATCCACCATTTTGAACAAAAAACGGCCAAACAGGTTGCCATATTTCGGTTGTAGTGTTTCGTGAAATAGCCAGACTTTCATATGAACACTTATAAACAAACTTGCGAGATAATTTTTGAGCAAAACAGCCGAAAAAATACGACAAATTCAAGAAAGGTTCTTATCGTAAACAATTTTCAAAATTAATTGGTCTTTAAGTACGACCGAAATATGACAACCTATTTGCATATTTTTCTTCAAAATAGTACATACAATAACACAAAGCTTCAATAAGGCGTCTTCCTCGCTCGCTGATTTCACTTGAAATTGGAAAGAAATCATTGTCTATAACAAATTTCATATTCATTTGAACAATGAAGAACGTTGCAGTGAACACTCGGTTGCTCATGTATTTTTCATTTCTTAAGCTCTAGATCTTGTATTCTCATTGCCACAGTTTCTTCAAAAATCAAAACAGCTTTGAACTTGTTTGATTTTGTTTAAGGCAGTTGTTGAAATTTTGTTTGGCTCAAAATTCAAAAACAACTAAACATGATTACGTGATTGATATGTTTGTAATATTTCGTCCAATTGCAACGAGGAATGATGACGTGTGCACACGCCTTTATCCAATCAGATTAAAGAAATATAACGATAGCACACGTCAGCAAATTGAAATTTGGATTTTGGAAATTGGAACTATTTTTAAAAAATATAAAAAGTTGAAAACAGCGGCATTTGCATTTAATCACAGAGTAGATCAGTAGATACTTAGGTTATGGAGTATTGTTGAGCATCATAGTGCCCAAATCAACGATATTGAGCAGTATTCACGCCGTGATTGTGTTGAGATAGCAGGGGTGCCCGAAGGTGAACAAGAGAATACAAATGAATTGGTGATGAAAATCGGTAACTTGATTGGCGTGAACATAAATGAAAGTGATATCTCGGTTAGTCATCGGTTACCTAAACCAAGCTATAGTCAACGTGCAAGAGAAGGGATGCCGGGATTTAATACAAATCATCCGAAGATCATTGTTAAGTTTGTGCGAAGGGTCACTAAGGATCAATTCTACAGAGCTCGAAAACACTTAAAAGATCAATCAACACGTGATATTGGATTTTCTACAGCATCAGTCAACAAGATTTTCATATCCGAAAGCTTAACATCAAAAAACAGGGAACTTTTCAAAGAGTGTCTTCAGTTCAAGCGTGACCATTATCTTAAATTCATATGGACGAGATCTGGGCGAGTTTTTCTGCGCAAAGATACAAACAGTCCAATTCATGTTATCTCTACTAAAATGGATCTACAAGCATTATCCCGATAAGTATAATCTTATCTATTTCCTGACTATGTTTATGATTGAGTGGTTATAATGAGTGATACTTATGACTCTCTACCTAAATTTGATCTGATCTCCAAGCTATCAAATATACCTAACTTTGAAGCTGTTGATATTGATAATAATTTGTTACCCCAGATAGATTTTAAATATTATACAATCAATAATTTTAATACTCAAGTCACTACAGATTTGAAAAGTTCTCATGATACTTTCTCTGTACTTCATTGCAATGTAAGAAGTTTAAGTGCAAACTTTGACAGTTTGTTAACTATGTTATCCGAAGTTCAAATCTCTTTTGATATTTTGGGTATTTCAGAAACTAAAT